CTTGGCATTTGTCACAGTCAGTTCCCCCTATACTTCCCCATACTCCCCACACTCCCTGCAGTGGTCCTGACTTCCATGTGCCACAAAGGGGTTTGCAGAGGCTAATCGTTGTCACCACCAGGGATGCTTTACACTTCATAACTTACACCCTGCTGTTTCATCTACCAAGTTCCCTTGTGCCCCCAGCCCCATAGGAACATTGTAGTCCCAGGGCCAGAACTGCACCCCCACTTCAGGGCATGCCAGCAGGTCTGACGGTCTCTCATTGAGGAGTTCAGCCCTGAGGAAGAAACCTGAGGAAGGCCTGCAAGGTTTCTGGTTAATGTTCAGAAGCTTAAGAACAGCTCTACCTAAATAGAAAATGAGCAGAGGAGGAAGGCTTTCCTGGGGCCTGAGAGCTGTGAACTTTCATAGCAGGAAGGCTCACCTGCAAAGTGCTATATTATGGGGGCATCCAAGATCTGTTCCAATCTCTGCCCACTGTAGCTCAGTGTAGAAGGGCAATGGCATGTGTGCTCCAAGTAAGGCACAGGAGGGAGCAGGAGCACATGGAGCAGGGCTCCTTCCCAGCCAGGATCTGCATGGTGGTGGGCAAGGATTGAAAATGTAGAGCTCGGAGGGAAGGGCATTCAAGCATACAGAATAGTAACAAACGTACAAGGGCAGAAAGGCCCAGGGATTCTATGAAACCCAAGGGCTCAGGGGACTGGGGGCAAAGTGCATGACTGGAGAAGAGAAATGCAGCTGCAGAGGAAGGGCAAGGCCAGGTCAGATGAAGAACCTGGATTATATTTGATAGGCCATGGAGAACCACTCAACGCTGTCTTCCTTGCCCATTAAAACAAATCAAATAAAAATCCAAATTATTTAATATCCCCTAGGGAATATTTAATTTGTTCCTAGCTGCAAACTGGAGTCTTTACTAAGATTGATGTAGCACATTTTAAAAGATGGGGGTGGAGTAGGCTGCAGTCTTCGTTGAGGCTAGAGAGGCATTCCAAGGCCTTGGAGGACCAGCTCCCTCCTCTCCCCGCATGGGTAGTTTGGCTGGAAGCAGCGGTTCCCAGTTCCCATGTCTGCCCGACCCCCTTCCCAACACTCCAGCCTTTCTTCCCCATCCTTCCCAGTGATTTTGGCAGAGATGAACAAAACTCACATCCAAGAACATTCTACAGCTACCTTCCTTTTCATTGTCTTCAAAATGTACTTCAAAACACTGAAGATGCCACAGTGGGTATCAGCCCATGCTGTGCTGTGTGCTACAAACATGAACTGGGGCTGGCAGTTTTAATAACACTCTTCCTTATTTGTTAGAAAATGCTCTTGGGAATCAGAATACTTATGAATGTCTGGTGTGTTTAGAAAATGTGAATATTCAGCTTTAAGTCTGTGCATGCAATGTTCTATGATGTACAGACTGAGCACTGCTCAGTGAGGAGTGCTGTTCTGCCCGCCTGGTGATGAACTGATGTGGAGGTTGCAGTGGCTGTTTCTGGAAGCTCTGCCATGTGTGGTGGCCGGCCTACCTCTGTCATGGTCTTCCAACTTCCCCTACCCTACCAGCCCCCATGCAAGTGCAACTCTTGCACTTTTCCAGACAGGTGAAGCCAATTTGGCTTCATGCTTGAGAGGTAAAGAAATACAAACTGAACTACCATCAAGTTGTGGGGGAATGAAAGGGGACCAGTACTGCTGGCTTTCAATCCTCGGGCTGCTAGTGGCTGTGTCAACGGGTGGAAGAAGTCCTGGGCCTGGGCCTCCTTTTCTGGCATGGCATTGGATCTGGAGGTGCTATTGGCAGTTCTTCTGGAGGAAAGGGAGGGGAAAGAAGGGATGGGTTCCTAATGCAGGATCCCTTTGCCAACAAACTTGCAGTGCTTTGGCCCCTCTGGGCCTCTACCCTATCAAAAGGGAGGCTTGTGTGGGCTGGGCAGCTGGAGCAAGGGAGGAGGCCACATCCCAGCAGAGGCCAGGAACCTCTGGGAACAGGCAGCCCATTTGGCCAAAGCCAGGTACCCAGCCATCTAGTAGTGTGTGAGCCACTGGAACTCTGGGGACACCCAGGAAGGAGGCTGCCACCCATCAGCCAAGGCTAGAGGTGCTGGGAGTGGGGTCTTTCACTCAAGGACTGCTGCACCTTCAGATTTGCCCTCCCAACCTCTTACTTAGGGTCAGCCTGGCCTTCGGCTGCTGGTGAGACAGCTCATCACCCACTGTTCTCTCCCTCATCCCCAAGAAGAGCCTGATGGTAAAGATGCGGTGCATTGTGTGCATGCAGTATGTGAGGATAGAAGGGAGGCCAAGGGACAGAAAATGTTTGTCCAGAGTAGTTCCAGATGAAGCAATCATTTGAAGATTTACCTGGTGGAACTTTGCAGTATGAATGGCAGAGTTCCCTAGAGCCTCATGGAGCAGCCTGACACAGACCATGGGGACAGCCATACTGCCTTCTAGTGTGAGCTGTGACCCTGAAAGCTTGGTCTACGACAGGTCTTCTTGAACCAAGCTGTGCCCAGACTTCTCTCCTACCCTGGGCAAGGCTGGTACAAGCCCTCTTGCTTAGTTTTCACATGCCATCCTTGTGCCTTGTCTGCCTTTCCAAAAACCCTGGACTGTTCTCCATGGTGCTCTGGAGCTGGGGGAATTACAGCTCATGCCTGGGACAATGAGCAAAAAGATTGACTCCAGGCAGAGCTACTGATCTGCCAAGGTAGCCAAGGGTAAGGTATCTAGGCCAGGAGCAAGCTGGAACAGGTCTGCCAGTGGCACCACTAATGCCTTAAAACAGGGGTTCAACCCTGGAACTGCATAAGCGGTCAGAGAGCATTCACTCATCAGAGTTTGACTTTAGTAATTCACAAAACAACTGGACAGTCTGGCAGAGGAGCACTAGTTCTGGGCTTTTGGTCCCTGTAACCCCTTCTTACCCTCAATCCTAAGTTGGACTGTCCTTGGAGCTACTCCTGAGAGGATTTCTAGGTAAAAGCAGATCAAGTCAGCCACCAATCCCTCTGGTTGCCTGGCTCCAGGGCTGAGCTATGAGCTAAGCAGTTGACTAGTGGGTGACTACAGACTCTCCCAGTTCAGATAAACCCTAGCCCAGACACTCTAAACACTGAATTCAAACAACAACCCCAGCCTAATGTTTCCAGCCTCGATGGCTTTCACAGTGCCTCTCCCTAAGGTTCTTTTAGCTCTACCATTCTATTCATGTGTCCTCATCTGCTCTAAGAGCTAGATGGGAAAGACGTTATCTCCTCCAAACTCCCTTTTATTCAGATAGAGAAATTGAGGCCCAGAGAACTTAAGTGATACACCTGAGGTAAAACTGAGCCTCTAATTGGGAGCTACTGATGCTGTCCAGTAAACCCCTGAGCCTCCCCTGTGATCAGAAGGGGTTCACATATCACTACCACCATCCCTTTCCCTGCTCCAGTTCTAGGCCTCCACTGTGCATGCCAGCAGGCAGTGCCCTCGCACTCCCTTGCACACCTTCCTCACTCCTCTGACAGATGTGGCTTGGTTTTCCAATTGTACAGTCCTGCACATTCAGGAGGGGAGGTGGCAGCAGGTGTGGCTGCTTCTGCCTTTTAGCTGCATTTGGCCTATCAAGAGACTTCTTGCCAACAGCTGAGAATGCCAGACACTTCGAACTCTTCCTGTCCCAAGTCACAGAGGGTATAAAGAATGCCTCTAAACTCTACTTCTGTCTCCACTGGTGCCACAGTTAACTGGCTCTTAGCAATGTTCTGCATCTGATGATTGTGAGGGGAGGTTTACCTCTATGGGTCAGTGAGTGACTCTGACAACCAACTGAGCCATCAGCTATCCTTACCCAGTGGCTGCAAAGGGACACACCTGAGAACAGCCTGTGTGTCTTCATCAGCTTAGGCTACCATAGCAACATACCATTGATTGTGTAGCTTCAGCAACAGCATGCATTTCTCAGTTCTAGAGGCTGAGAAGTCCAAGATCAAGGCTTTGGCAAGGTAGGTTTGGTCCTGGAGCCTCTCAGCTTGGCTTGCATGCAGCCGCCATCTCGCTGTGTGCTCACATGATTTCTTCTGTGCGTGTGCGTACATGTGTGCATGCATGCCCCCATGTGCCTGCGCGGGGGCCTGGGGGGCACAGCAAGGTTCCTAGAGTTTCTTCTTTTAAGGGCAGTAGTCGCATCATGATAGTCCCACCCTAGTGACCTTATCTACCCTTAATCACTCCCATCAAAGGTGCCATCTTCAAACAAACACCCTGACACTGGGTAGTTACAGCTTCAATATATGAATCTGGAATGGGGCACAAATATTCAGTCCATAAAACCATGGTAGAGATCATACTTCTTAAGGAATCTCAGGCTCCTCCGGTGTGAGGCCTAATGTGCCTCCTTAATTTTAACTTGCCACTAGAGACTGGGGTTTCCCTTGCTTTTTCCCAGCAATGGTTCATTACCTTAAGAAAGACACACAATGACCTCTGGTTTGGCTATCCAAGCCTTTCTCTACACCATGCAGACAACTGCGAAGATGTCCTTCTTGGTTCCTGACTAGTAAGAAAAATCATTTTCCCTCTAGGTGGTACCTCTAGCCATTAAAAAGTCTACTGATGGGAGAGAAAGAACCCACATGTAAAAAGAATGGATACACTGTCCTTTAGTGTTAAGGCTTACTTCTGAGGTAATAAGTGAGGCACAAACACCATCTACCCTGAGAAGGTAGCCCCTGGGCCAACTGTTTCAAAGCTCATCGGGCTTGTGGCTGCCCCCGGTGTCAATGAAGGAGTCAGCATGCCTGAACTACACAAAGAAAGGCTACACAGCAGGCCTGGGCACATGGCCATATGCGAAGGCAGCAGTCGCTGGCCTCTGCAAATGCAGCATGGAGCTGAGGTGTGAACAAGAGACAGGAGAGCAGGATAGGCAAAAGGGCCTAACTGTAGGAAGCAAGCCTTTCACCAGGGACTCTGGCACAGTCGGGTTCCAAACATCACTGAACAACTCATAAAGCTCCAATGAATGTAAACGTTTATTAAGCAAGGAAGTCATAGTTATTCAAGCTCTTAAGTGCCCCCATTGAGCTGATTTCAGGTTCCCTTAGTTGGAGTCCCATTCTGTCTGGCCTTCTCCAGCAAGACTATGGAGGGGAGGCAGGGCTTGATCATCAGGGTCAATGCTTCAGAATGTTTGTGACTAAGACAAAACAGCCTCTACATTTACTAGATTGAAAAGGACTCTGGCATTTTTTTCTTTTTTCTTTGTGTTGAAAAATTTGAACAAACTCTCAGCAGACCTCCTTCCTGTGGTGGAACGTGGATATGCAAAGCAGGACAAAGGGCAGATGGGACACCAGATCCAGCTGTGGCTGCTTGCTGTCACACCCTAGCATACTACGGATCTCAGGCTGCCTCTGCAGCATAACTTCCAAGAAACAGGCTGTGCTTAATAAACGATTACAAACATAATGTATTAGGAAACAATTATTTCTCTAACCCCAACCCCTACTCCAAGGGATTTTATGCACCTTGAAGGTCCCCTGGTCATGCTCATTGGCTTGGCCGCACCCCCCCCCCATTTCCCCTCATCATTGGTCATGAATGTACTGCTAGCGCTGCTTATTTGAGTCACGCTGCTCCTCAGGTGTCAAGTTTCTCATCTGGTCTGGCTGGTATGCAGCAGGGCCTTGGAAAGCCTGTTGACCAGGAGGTCCCTCGGCTCCTATGTCAGTCAGAGTGTTGCACCTGCCAGGAAAAAGTAAAATAAGATGGAATGTTTTGCTAGAGTTCGTGGGCCCATTTTTTGGTGGTGGAAGCATCCCTTTAGTTCAAATAGGCAAGCTGCTGAGAAATACGTCTTTGGAACATGAGCCTTCAAGGTGATGGTAGGCGGGGGAGCTGGAGAAGATGAGGTTCATCTGCTCCTCTCTCTCCCAGCAGCATCTTGGCTTAAAGAGAAGCAGAAGCAGACCAGGACTTTCTCAAAGTTGCCTTAAAGCTCCTGGGTCTGTGTCTGGCCTTCCCTTTTCCAGCTTCTCTGTCAGCCATGGCCAGCCAAGGCCACTAGTCTTGGGCCTTGGACTCAGTGATTTCCATGCTGACTCTGATTTGCAGCTAATTGGCCCACTTTAACAAAACTGCAGGAGAGGTACCAATCCACACTGGAGTGTGGAGGAGGGAGGAAGAATGGATACAAAGAAGGTGTTGCAAAGTGTGGGCTGAGGAAGTATTTCCTGTTTATGGAGGAGGGATTCCTTGGGTTATGTTGCAAGGTGATGCAAGATTTCAGTGAATGGGACTCAAGCGGGTGGAGAAGACACAGGGAGCATAAGGAGCATGGCTGGGCTCTGGGCAGACAGCTGGAGGTGTCTGGGGACTTGTAGGTAGAAAGGTCCCAGAAGGCAGTAAGGATAAGCCAGGGCAGGGCAGTGAGGGCTGGGACACTAAGAGGAGGAGTTCAGGCTTCATTCTGAGGATAGCAGTGAGCCCTTGAGGATTTGTGGCCAGGTAAGCTCTGACATGGTCCTGCCCATGGCTGTTCCACTGCTTTCTCCCAGCTGAGCAACCTTGCAGAATCTGACCTTTCCCGCTTCCCTGGGCTACTTGCTCAGCCTTATGCTAGTTTGGCCTCTCAGGATCCCCTGCAGGAGGGAAAGTGCCTCAAAAATAGACATAAAAGCATCAAAAGTTCTCAACAAAGTCTGGCTTGGTAACGGAACCACAGGACCTATTGCCCCCTCTGATCTCTCCGTGTGAGCAGTCCCTCTAAGTGACAAAGTTCCTAGCAGTACTGGTGGCACAGATGGTCAAAGTGTATATGTGAAAATAATCATGCCCTTGCTTGCTTAAAATATTTAAACTCCTTTTTGCCTTAGCTTACTATTTCTTGTGGTTGTTTTGGTTTAGTTTTTTGTTTGAAGAAAAAAAGGTTAGGCTATAGTAAGATTTTTAAAGCTAGAGTGAAAACACCTTTTGTAAGTTCAATTCATTAGTGAAATTTTGTGTGGGGAGTCCCCACATGGCTTGCTGGGAGCAAAATCTGCTACATAACTGCCATTTAGACCAGCTTCTATCCTGGAAACATGGCCACTGCAGATGGTCCCCAAGGTAGGCCTGCCCTTCCGAATACAGGGTACCCCATAGACGGATACCAAGCACATTCAACAGTGGGGCCCTAGGTTTATTTCTAGTGCAAGGAAACATACTTACACTAGGTCCTAGATTTTATAGCAGAACTAAAGATCCTTAAGTCTGGCAAGAGGCTTGGGATCAGATAATGAGCTCAGATTAAAAAAATGGCATAGCTCACTTTGCCCATGTAACATATTTTTGAGAGAAGTTTGTCAGATTGCATCTAAGATCCACTAGGCCAGCTCACTTTTTTGAGGAACCCTGCAGAGAATACTTTTACTCAGCAATGAGCGCTACCATCATGTGAGTAACTGCCCTCAAGTGTATTCAGCTTTGAAGTCTGGCTGTCGCACACAGCATGCTCTTGGGGTGTGTGTTATGAAGAAAGGGCCAAGAATCCCTCTTGACCTGTGCTGGAGGGAAAAGGAGAAGGCTGTAGCATACCTGTCGGTAGATGGGTTGGCAGTGGGTGGTGCCCCGCTCATTGCAGGTCCTTGATTGCATGGACCAGGCAGCTGTTCCCAAATATGGATGCAATCCTCTGGGACCTCCTGGGTACTTATGGTTGAGTCTGAACTTTTGGAAGTAGTGGTGGAAGAAGAAATTGCCTCAGGGTTTGGGGTATCTACCAATGGCACCTGGCTCGTGGTGAGCTCCAGACACTCCTTAGGATGAGAACTGTAAAAGAAAAGATCTGTTGCAGTGACAGCATCCGGACATGATAACCGATGAGACACTCACGTGGTCATCAGTAGGCGCTTCAGGCACATTTGGTTTGGTGGCTACACCACAGCATTCACTTGTTTGTATTCTCACTTTGGCCTAAGATTCAACTTGTCAAAGGAAAGTGAATGTAGACACTGAAAGAAATTACAATCCCTTGTCTCAACTGGTTTTATTTAAATTACTTGGACAGCCTTGGTCCTGCCACAACTATGCTCTCTGTGGCCTTGGGCAAGTCATTTAATCTACCTTGAAAGAACTCAGGAAGCTAGTGGCTGAGCAGAGACTGTAAGGCAGATTTCCAAATTCCAAATCCAGTGCTCTCTACACAACCCTAAGCCTGGAAGTTTTGTGATCAATATAGATTTTTGAGCCCCATCCAGGCTCTGAATGTATACTTTCCACACTGTCCTCGGGTGGATTCTGATGATCAGGTCAGGTGGGCAATATGGCCCTAAAGCAGTCTACATGTCAAATCACTGATTCTAAATCAAAGCCCAGAAGGAAGTCTGGAGAGCTTTGGGAGACCCATCTCAGAAACCTATTCATTCAAAACTCTTTAGTGGGCCCCAGCTATGTGCTAAACAATCCTTTCATCGCTGAGCAGAACCTTCTCTTTCTAGCACTTGAAGCCGAAGACCTTATTATTGAGCAGAAATGTGTTTGTGTCCTTATACTGCCACTCAGGACTCAACCTTCATGTGTTCTTGGCTGATCTCAGCAATTTAGCAATTGTTTCACTCTCACTTCCCTCCTACTCTTCATAAATGCCATGGAGATACCTACACTCGGTCTACTGGAATCACCAGATTCCAGGAAAGTTAGAGAATGAAACTGGAAGCCCAGAAGTTATTCAGCTTTGGACACAAAAGACTTGTCCATAGATACCCTATGCAACAGACCGAGCTTGGGGAATCCAACCAAGTGATTTCAAGGTTTGTGGGCTAATTCCCTAGCATTGAGGCTTCCTTATCTAGTCCCTTCTTCATGGGTACCCCTTTGTTCCGTCAATGGATGCTTAGCCATGTGCTACACATGCAGAGGCATGATGGCAGTAGCCACAGAGAAGATAAGTTGAGAGCAAGTTGCTGTTGATGAGAGGGCTGTTAGTGTCACACAGACAGGTCATCTGTCTGTGGTCTCAGGCATGGGATCCAGCCATGAAGGAAAAGCAATGATCACAGCGCCTATCACCATTCCATGCATGGCTTACCTTTGACTCTCATCTTCTTGATGGCCAGAGAGCTGTTGTTCAGCTACTATCTGGATAGGAACAACAATGGGTTGGGTCTGCAAAAATCTAACAGGGTTATTGCCGAGGGGCCCAGTTACGCAGCTTGGGTTTTGCAGGCATATCTGCAGCATATGATTCCCCACGATGACATTACGCTTCTGTGGCTGCTCTTGGAGCTGCTGCTGCTGCTGCTGCTCTTCCTCCTTTGTCCCTTTCTGCAGCATCTCCAACTTCTTCTGCCCCTGCAGCTTATTCTTCCTCTCCTGCCTCTGCTCCTGCAGCTTCTTCTTCTCCTGCCTCTTATGCTCCTGAAACTTCTTCTTCTCCTGCATCTTCTTTTGCTTCTGCACTTTCTTTTGCTCCCTCAGCTGCTGCAGCTGCTTTCGTAGCTGCTGCTGCTGCTCCTTCAGACGTTGTTCTTGCTGTGCCAGTTGCTGCTGTATCAAAAGGCAAGAGATAAAAGGACCCTGGTGTCTGCAAGTGCCTACCAGAAATTTATTTAACACTGCTATTCAATTTTCGCAAAGCAAAAAGCAACAACAGTTGAGCCTCTCTGCACATAGTGTAACTGTCTACTTGTTAGATTGGATACTAGTTGCAGCCATACACTTGGCAGCGAGAGTCTGCTAATCCAGCACATATGTATGCATACATGGTCTAGCATGTGCATTCAGGTCTAGGTAGCCCAAGATTTTTTACTATCTTGGGCAAATAAATTGCAGCCAACTGGATAGCCACTACTCCTTAAGGAGAAACAGGAGAGTCAAAGTCCTCAAGAAAACAAAATCCCCTTTCAGACACACAGTTAAAACAGCATTTCTATACCTGGGTGACGGCAGCGCAAGGTTCCTGAAGCTTCCTGGTGTTTTTGAAAGAGTTGCATGAAGATAAATCACAGACTCGCTTGACCTCCTTGGGATGTGGGAGAGACCGCTCTGCTTGCCCAGTGTGTTGTTTCTGCTGTTTCATGGGCTCTGCCTCCGAAGGTTGGCTATCAGGACTAACAACGTGGTGTGATGTGTTTGGCTGCTTCTGTAAGGACACAGAATCACAAAGGTCTTATTCACAGTCCACACTTTCCTTAGCGCACAAGAAAGCTGGCCATAGAGCCGGACCGCCCATAAGCAAGCCTGCAGGAAGCCTTGGCTATATGGAAGCCACGCCTACCATTGCCAACGCCTGGCTGTGCCAATCTCAGCTCTTGTAACCAAGAGCAAAAGGGCAAAACTCTAAGTACCCACTGGAGATCACTTTAGATATCCCATGTCACCCTGTGAGCAGCAGCTGTCACCACCTGCAGGCCCTATTGACTAACTCCTTAAGGCCTCCCAAGGTCCTTCTCTCCTCTCCCATCTGCCACTTAAATAGAACAGTCTCTGACCTGAAACCTAGCAGCCTGACTTCTCTGAAACTGATCGATGATCACTGCCAGTGCATCCTGCTGGTCTTGGATGGTATCATGCAGCATCTGAGACCTCTTTTCAAGTTGCTCCTTCAACTTCTTTATCACATCCATTTCCTGGCTGATGATGCTGTGTACAACTGGTGATAATGGCTGCAATGGCTGTGGGAAGGAATTACTTATGGTTCATGTAAGGGACACTGGTTTCTCCAAGTCTTACCATACTGTTTCACTTCAAAATTTCTGAAAGACTGAGAATGCAAATGGTAGCACTCAAATCCTGATTTCATTCATTACTAGAAAGTTTGAAAACATGGTTAGAGAATTTGGGAATTCTAGATAAGAAGTGGACCATGGAGATCATTTAACCTGATTCTTTTACCTAAAAGAAAGATATAAAATTGGCCCAGAGACATGAAACAACCTGCCTAAAGTCCTTAGTGGAAGAGTCACAGGTCAGTGCCCAAGTATTCTACCCCTAGGTCAAATCACAAATGACAGTTCACCAATAGGGCCCCTGTTAGCAATGCAATAATGAAAATCATCAATTGGCACTTCCTCTGTTCCAGGCACTCTTCTAAGCACTGTATGAAAACTCACAGGTCTGATCTTCACAGAGCCCTGAAAAGTAGATACTGTCATTGTTCTCATGAACAATTACAGTACTTAGGTGGATTCTTCTGTAGGTCCTGGAAATCTAATTTTAACTTGGATAACAGCCTCACATCTAGAAAGAAGCAAACATACAGATTTATAAAAGTAAAGAGCGTGTTACAGGGCGAATGATGCGCCATATTGACTGGAACAGAAGTAAGGCAGGTCACATATAGAGAAGCCAGAGTTTTGTACAGGTTCAGGCAGCCGAGGAACTCGGATTTTATTCATCAGCCACATGGCACTGCCGCTAGACGGTGTGTTCTTATCAGAGATGTAACATACTCAGATCTCAGTTGTAAAACATGTCTTCTGGTACCTGTGCAGAAGATGAAGTGGGTGGGACAAAGGAAGCTTGGAGCTTAGGACAAGTCAATTAGAAGGCAATAGGAGTTAATTCAAGGTAGAGATCACAGGGGCATGGAACAAACTAGGGGTAGATGATATAAGCAGGAAAGGACACCATTTGAGAGAAATTAAGAAAATAGCAAATGCTGGTGAGGATGTGGAGAAAGGAGAATACTCATATACTGTTGGTATGCATGCATTTGTACAGCCACTATGGAAAACAGTATGGCGGTTCCTCATGTAGCTAAAAATACAGCTACCATATGATCCAGCAAATCCCACTGCTGGGTATACACCAAAAGAAAGGAAATCAGTAGATCAGAAAGATACCTGCACCCCCATGTTCATGCAGTACTATTCACAATAGCCAAAATTTGAAATTAGCCCAACAGACAAATGGCTAAAGAAAATGTGTTATATATACACAATGGAATATTATTCAGCCATAAAAAGAATGAAATCATGTCATCCGCCATAATATGAATGGAACTGGAGGTCATTATGTTAAGTGAAATAAGCTAGGTACAGAAAGACAAATATCATATGTTCTCATTCATATGTGAAAATTAAAAATGTTGATCTTATGGAGGTGGAGAGTAGAATGGTGGTTACTTGAGACTAGGAAGGGAAGGTGGAAGAGGTGGATGAAGAGAAGTTGATTACTGGGTACAAAAATACAGTTAAACATTAGGAACAAGTTCTAGTACTCAATACTACAGTAGGAAAATTGAGTTATGATAATTTATTGTATATTTAAAAACAGCTAAAATAATTGTAATGCTCCCAATACAAAGAAAAAAACAATGTTTGAGGTGATGGGTATCCTGATTACCTGGATTTGATCATTAAGCATTGTAGACATGTATTCAAATATCACATTACCTCCAAAACCATGTACAACTATAATATATCAAAAATAAACAAATAAAATTCTAAGAAAAAGATTAACATCCACAATATCTAAAGTAAAATGAAGTTTGAAGAACAATAATAAAAAAGCAACTGAGCTGGGTGTGGTGGCTTGCATCTGTAACCCCAGCTACTCAGGAGGCTGATGTGGGAGAACTTCTTGAGGCACAAAACCAGCATGGACAACAAAACAAGAACCCCATCTCTTGAAAAACAAACACAAAAAAGGTGGATAGGACTTTTCAACTGATTGGCTGAGAGGGACAGAAAAGAGATGAGATTCTTGGAAAATAACTATCTTTCAAGGCTGGAAGTAGGGCCTGGGAACAATTGCTATTTGCCCTGAACTGTGCTGGATACCATGCCCATAAACAAGGTCAGAGAGCCACAGTCCTGATCCATAAAGAATTTACAATATTAATAACAAGAAAAAGGTCCACACACTTGCAACTTCTAGAAACCAAAATAGACTTATACTGTGGTCCATCAATAACCTTTATGAGTAATATAAGTACATAGATGAGTTGAGAAAAAGAAAGAGAATACCCTGCAAGTTGTTTTCTCATCATTTGGAATAAAAATTATATATATTTTTTAGTCCACTGAAAATTGTTCAAATTGTCCTTCTTTCGCTATGTATTATATGTTGCTTCCTATAAGAAAGCAGACATTCACTAGACCAAAAAAAACCCAATACATACACACACATACACACACGCACACACGCACACACACACACACACACACACACCCCTCTAAATTTAGGACTGGAAGAAACAAACTTTACAGGTTATCACATCCTCTCACCCTCTCCAAGCAGGAATCTTCTCTTTGCTGTTCCTGGAAAATAAGCTGCCAAACATTGGCTGTAACCTTTCACTGAATGAGAGGGGACTTACTATTTTGAGAGGTGACCTAATCTGTCTGAAAAGGCTGATAGTGCCAGACTGCTTCCTCGATCCTCTGTAACCACATCTTCCACTTTAAGATCTTTTAACTATTTGTATAAAGCTGTCCTGTCCCTTACTATTATTCCCTTCTCTAGTGTCTTGAGCAACTAATTAAGATGTTTTCCAGCCCCTTCCTCATCCTGGTCTCCATCTTCTGAATACAATCCAGGTTGTTGATACATGGCATCCAGAAATAAGCCTAATATACTAGCACATGCAGAGCCAGATGACACACTTACATTGCTGGTTATTTTGGTGATTTTCTTTCAACAAAGTTATACTCAAAAATTTAATTGCAAGTTAATTCAAAAGAGAAGATAAACCTGTCAACAGGGGGGACCACAAATTTTGTCATAATAAGGACATAAATTAGGACAAAATGGATTTTCACAGAAATTTCCTTTTAAATATCTCAAAGAATTTTCACAGCAGTCTGCAAATCCCTGCAAGCCAAGACCATTTCAACATGGAGAAACTGAGGCTCAGGAATTTTCCAAGGCCACACTGCTGAGGCCAAACTCAATTGTGTTCTGGCCCTTAATTATTTTCATTAGATGAGTATCCCTTTGACATTAGAAATGGAGTGACTAATCTTAGGCTCAGTGACAAAAGCATGCAATTCCACATTAACTGACCATATACTCATTAGCTTGGGTTCTAATCCTGATTTTAGTAATTCTGTCTAATATAAAAGATGATCGTACAAATCTATAGTTGTGTACACACGTTTTTGGGTAAAGGAGCTACACAGAAGTTAATCCAACCGTTTTTATTTGGCTTTGCACTGCACATTGGTACTAACGTTTCAAGGTTGGGTATATCTAATACTCTGAAACGCATGTTCTAACCTAATAAAAATTCCACTGGGAAAACCTAGCTTGTAGTGCAGGCAGAGGGTTGGTATGAATAGGCCAGAAGGTTGTCTTCCCTCTAGATGGTTAGCCTGCTCTCACAGGTGGTTAAGAGCAGGGCTCTTAAAAATACCACTTTTTCTTAGTAGCTCAGCTTCCTATTTGGCTCAAGCTTTCCATCAAGTACAGTGTCCTTGGGATTTCATATTAAGAAGAGCACAGGGATTTGGTACTTAGAGAACCTCCCACCTCCCTGTTTGTGAAGGTCCATTGAGTTATCAGCTGCATTTGAAAATCCAGTACAATAGAAATAGTGGTACACTTCTGAAAAAGTAACAAACATACTTTCTGCAAAGTGAAACTGATCACAAGAGTGAAAATTTGGGCTTTGCAAGGTTAGCTGTTTAGACAAACATGTGAAGCAAGTGAAGTGAGACCTTCAGAGGTACCTGAGCACTGGTGCCAGCAGTCTCCAGGTCCTCTGAGTTTTCTGTGTCCACGGAATCCATCAGGCCTGTCTCACCCAACAGATCCACTGGATTCTCTGGGTCCTGCTGGTCCATTGGGCCCCTCTGGTCCACTGAGTCCTCCTGGTCCACTGAGAACTCCAGGTCCACTGGCTCTGCCATGTACAATGGATTCACCTCAGGCTCAAATTGAAAACCTTGCAAGAATAATAAGTTTGAGGAAGAAAGCACAGGTGAGTTCATGACTTGAAAGCAAAAGTATTAATGTTATCAAAAAGACTGGATAAGAGAGTCACTTTACTCCATGTTAAGGAGAAGATGTGCCAGGTGCCAAGAATCATTCAGAATATTATTTTTAAAATCTGTTCATATTTGAAAATGCAGAAAAGGGAGATAGTGTTTAAGTTACCACTGCCTGTTCTCCACCTTAAGCTGGCACTTAAACCCACTGCAGTTGTCACTGTCATTTCATTCATTATAAAATTATTTTGGCTCTGCTTCTGGAGATTTGGTATCATCCAACTGATAAAACCAAATTAATCTAGTCATAAATGACTTCTGAACAATTGGGTTACCCAGAATATGGGACCTCAGAAGTGTTCAAAGTGCTCTGGGAGCTGTTATGACATGACTTGGTTTCAGGAGCCCTGAAAAGCACGTTGGAGAACATTATTTCAGTAATGCAAAATGGTACCCTCATTTTGGAAAACATTTTGTCAGTTTCTAATAAAGTTAAACACATACTTCCCAAATGACCCAGCAGTTCTACACCCAGAAGTTGAAACGTATATGCACACAACACAAAAACTTCTATGCAAATGTTTAAAGTAGCTTATTCATGATCAAAACACACTTGGAAACAACCCAGATGTTCTTTTACCGGTGAACGGAGTTTTAAAACCTGGTATATTCATAAGATGTCATACTACTCAGCAATAAAAGGGAATGAATCATTGATTCATGGAACCATGGATGAATCCTAAATGCATTTTGCTAAGTGAAAAGAGCTAGACCAAAAAGGCTAGATATCATATGATTCATCTTACATAACATTCTGGAAAAGGGAAACCTGCAGAGGTGAAATACTTCAATGGTTGTCAGGGGATGGGAAACCAAGGCTGAGTACAAAGAAGGAGCACAAAGTAATGTTGGGGGTGATGGAACTATTCTGTTTGGTACTGTGGTGAGAGATACATGACTCTTAACGTTTGTCAAAATCCATAGAACTATATATCGCAAATAGTGAATTTTGTTGTACATAAATTTGAAAATGAATTGATCAGGCGGTGGGAAAACCCAGGTGAAAATGCAGGCTGTAATAAATGAATCTACTTCTATTACAAATAAATGGCATATCCACAGTGACAGGGGTGAAAAATAAGCTAACGGAGGAACTTTAGAAAACAGAGGTTTGCCTAGATGCTGCAAGGTTAAAGACAAAAACAACAACAACCTACACACTCAAACTAATTCTCAAACTTATTCCAAATGGTAAATTTGTTTCTCAAGGGGTACAGGTTAGCAATTGTGAAACTACTTTTTATGAATGTTTATGCATTGAAAAAAATCAATAAATATACGATAGATAATAAGAGCCAGATTTATCACTGTCTGAGGTACAAATTACACATAAACACACAGAAAAGGGTAGAATGAACCCTATGGTAATGGACTGGAGAAGGAGATATCAGTGAACTCCTGTTGTTGTTTTTGTTTGTGACATGCTGAAATAAATACAGATGCGTGTATATGCTTGCACAGTTTAGTATGAATAGACATCTTTCCTGGCATTGTCCATTGAGAGGGTTTGGAAATGGTGACACACCTGTATCCAGGAGTGCAGCTACCACCCAGATCTTCATTTCTAAATACCACTCTCCAAATAAAGGACCTAAATAAGGTTCCTTAAAGACGGGGCTGTTTTCAACAACTTATAATAATGGAAATAAGGAAGTGAGGGGGGAAAAAAAGATGTAGACATGGTAAAAGGACAAGGGAGCTAGCTTAAAAGAGCCCCATGAGCCAAAGCTGAGACAATTTTTTTTAAATGATGGTATTGGATTACAAACCAAATAATTTAAAAATGCCCATGAGATCATCCTGATGTAAATGAATGAACGAATAAATGAATGAAAGAGAGACAAGAAACAACTCTTTCATGTAGCAAGATTGCAGTTTATAAATACATAAAGAATGAGGGAAATAAAAAAATTGGCACTAGAACACCCCAGGAGTAATTGCTGCAGGCCAATTCCACTGATGATGCTACAATGTGAAGGAGAGTTTAAGGAGAAACAGGAAACATTATTTGCACGTTATCAGTGTAGCTCTCCTCAAATATTTGGCAAGTACAATGGGGGAAACAGTGCCACCTTAACCAAGAGATCAAGTTAACGCCATCAGCAATAAAATATACCATCGTGTATATTCTGATATGATGCACTAAAGAGGGCACATCACATCTGTGGTATTCTTTCTCAAAGTGCAAGACCTCAATCTCATCTTGAAAAATCATCAGAAGAGTCCAAATTGAGGGGAATTCTATCAAACACCTGATCCATGTTCTTCAAAAGTATCAGATGATTAAAAAAAAAAAGTAAGACTGAGACACTGTCAAAGACTGGAGGAAACTAAAAAGACGTATTGTTTAAATGCGATGAGGGATCCTGGGTTAGTTATTAGAACAGGAAAAAAAAAAAAAAACCTTTCTGGGAAAACAGAATAAAGGCTGAATCTCACTTAAAAGTTTTGCATCAATGTTAACTTCTTGGCTCTGACAGTTGTACTATGGGTATGTAAAATGTTACATTAGGGGAAGCTAAAAGAAGGTTATCCTAAATGGGATCTTTCGCTTATTTTTCTACTTTTTTTCTGTGTGCTATTTTTGCAACTCTTCTTTAAGTCCAAAATTATTTCAATATTAAAAGTTTGGAAAAGAGAAACATCTGGATTAGGCAAAGTGAACCATTCTGTCACCTCCTACCTGCTCTTTGCAGCCTGGGGTTGCATACCTTACCATGCTATGGATGCGAACAAATTGCCCTTTAATCATAGCATGCTTTTGGGATGACTACTGAAAATATTTTGGAAAATTCTGGTTTCTGGATACTTCCAGTGTTTAGACCCTTGGTTAAATCTTTCTCCTTAACCCTTTTTCCACTAAAATCCATTTTCCAAATCAGTTTAGCATCTTTTAATTTTCTGATTCCAAGTAAACAAAGCTACTAAATTATCTATAAGTGACAGTGAGAAATCTAGGAGCTACTTGACTTCTACCTGATGAGCCGTAACTGCTAGCCATCTCAGTATGCCCATTTTTGTTGGAATAGTCATCTGTAGAAGGTTATAAAGACTTCTCGACCGTAAACTTAACAGTAGTAAATACAAATAATTATCTATAGCAAAGTTACAATGGTAAGTCCAGATAAATAGGTTTAAAGTAATCATTACTCTTATAAATTTTAGAAATCACAATTATGAGTTCATGAAGTTTAACCTCTCCTGCCAAAAATCAATTGTTTTTGAAGCATTTTGTAAAACACAGCTTTGAGATTGATAGCAACAATGGAAAAGTTGTTAACTAAGAGTCGTAAAAGTGAAAATATTAAAATACGATTTAAAAACTGAAAAAAGAGTGAAATAAAAATTAAAACAAAGCTTATTATTTCTATATATGAAGATTCCACATACCAATTATTTATGACAGGATTAATTAGGAGATATGATCTAGGTTATGCATCCACCATTTCCTTAAGTTTCGTATGTTTTATACAATTATAGTTATGAAATATCTTTCATATTGAAACTCATGAAATAAATATCACTGTTTTTTAGAGACTCACTTTCCCCCTTTATTGCCATGAAAGCTCAATGACAAGAGATTTCTTTGGAATCCAAATACTGTGTCATAGCAGAATAGACTACATGAGTATAAAAAGATAAAATGCTATTCCTTCAAGGACTGAGATCCAGCATCAATTTTTAGAAGATTAAAATTAAATGGGAGAAAAGACCATTTCCAAGCACTTGAACCTGTGATGAAATACGTATTTTTATCATTCTCAAACCATCATCTCAAATATTTACAGAAGATGAAGAAAGTTGGACTTCATTCTGTGACTTTACACTATTATAAATACAGCCTCATATTCATCTGAAAAACTGTAACTACCCTGTAGGTGACTATTTTTCTTCTGACAGTCCCTATCCAAATGCATAAATGTACCTACCTGAAGATTCAGGAATATTATCCATGAAATCTGTGCTGGAGCAATAAGTTGAATCAGAATCTTCAATATTTCCATTTTGAAGTATGGAATCTTCAATATTTCCATTTCCGTCTTGTGGTCCATGCTGCTCAACCTGTGTAATCTCAATTTGGTCCCATAAATTTCCAAAACAGAAAGATAGGACATTGCATTTTGGAGTTAGAATGAATAGGAAACACAGGCAGAATACAAACTGATGCATTTCACAGCACAATCTCTAACATCGCTGCAATCAACTGAAAACCTAACACAAAATCATCATCAAATACCTCCTTAAAAATATTGCTGGAAGATAACAAGCAGAGATTATAGATGCCACAGGTATACATTGACAAACTCAATAAGAGAAACACAGTATACATAACACTAGAAACAAAGGCATCAAGAAATGTTTATAGATCAAAAGACATGGCAAAAACAATTATGCATTTCAGTGGTGTCAGTAGGATGCTGTCATGATGGTAGCCAAGGATAGTAGTTATCTCATCTCCCATTCCTCATTATTAGACCCAAACACACTGGTTCACAGAGAAATGGGACAGCAGTGGGAGAGCTGCACCTTCACTGATAAGGCTATTTTCCCAGAGTTCCTGCACATGCATCCTAGGCTTAGAGCAAGAAAAGGCCAACTGGGGGCTGTTTAACAACTATTCCATATCTTTTAGCAGATTAAAGTTGTAAGTATTATTGGCAAAAGTACTTTTAGCAGAGAGGTGAAAAGGCCTCCAAGAGCTTCTAGTGCAATGTTCTCATTTGATAGTGTCAACGAGGGTAAGGCCATATAGACAGGCAGAAGCAGAGTGAGAGACAGAATCTATTGGCTCCAAACTCAATGCTTTTTTCCTAAGCCTGGCTACCTTTGAGCCATTTGTTGCCTTAAACTGTCTACATATTTCTATTGAGTGATAGTTCCTTAACAACTGGATTTTTTTGAATAGTCTGTGGACCACTGTCCACATGAAATTTAAGTACCTGGTTTGGCAGTTAAATATTTTACATCCCTTACAAAATATTGTGTTTGCTTTTGTTTTGGATTGGCTTAAGATACAGCCCATGGTGATTTTTCTACAAGGAATCTGTTTGTTGGATCACATCCAAGCATTTCAACTTCAGAAAACTGTGAAACCTAACTGTTCAAGTGATTATGTTTTATACTCCTTAAAATAAGTGATATGTTGTTGGAGATGTGACAATCTTTTCATTATTTATGATACTATGGTGAATTGGTATTCATTAAGAGGAGATATGACCTGTCTCTGTCCTCTTCCTTTGGTTCTTCTTCATAGCCATCTATAGATTTAATCACTGTCTTTTTGCTTCCTGGATTATTTTCAATAGAAATTTATATTCTCAAATGTTAATTAAGATGTCCACTTTTGGGTACTCATATATTTTAGCTTATCAATATAAATGCAGTGAGCTTAAACTAACTTAAATGACAGCATCACGTGCAGTAATGGTAATTGGCCTGGAAAGAAACAAAGCCAATAAACTAATTTGGAAGCAAAAAGATACCAATTTAAAATGCAATTAGGAGTAAGGTGAAAACGCATACATGGAGATAGGAAGATAATCAACATGCTTTTACAGTTTTCAGTGAAATTTTAGATTCACTTTTATTCCATACTTGTCTCCATGAATAGTATCCTGAAGGATATGAAGAGAGAGACATGGGTTTTGAGGTTGGACATAGAGTAGGTAAACTACAAATATGTAAATGGAGAGGGAGACGAGGGCATTCAAGAAGTTTGTCCCCAGATCTTTGCATTTTCCCTGTGGTGGCTTAATGTTAAAAGTGCTCTGGCTAATTTTTAGGAGATGCCTCCATTTTACTTTTTTGGGGGTGGTGGGGAAATGGCCATAGGGATTCCAATCAAGACAGCAGATTGGACAGACATGGGCAAAATGCTAGATAAAATAGAGCAGGATTTTAAAAAAATATGCTGAGTTTAGAAATTGTCTCTAGACCTTATTTTTTCTCTACCTGCCAGTATATTTATGTGATTCCCTTTATAGAAAAATCTCTCAAAAGAGTTTTTATGCACAATGCCTCCAATTCCACCATCCTCTTGTAAACCTACTCTCATCAGACATTATGTCCTTGAACCCCACCATACTCCACCAAAACTTTTGTCAAGATTAGCAATGACCTACCGATCCTAACTCTAATGGTCATTTCTCAATTGTCAACCGACCTAATCTATCAGCAGTATTTGACATTGTTCATCATTCCTTCTTCCTGGAAATACCTTCTTCACTTTGTTTACTTCCTACCTCACTAATCACTTGTCAGTCTCTTTTGCTAATTCCTCCCTTTTTTTCACTAATCTCTTTCCTTTGAGTGTACTTCAAGGCTCAGTCCTTGGTCCTTGTTACTATCTACCTTAGTGACCATCCTCTAGGCTTATGGCTTTAAAACCATCCGTGCTGATGATTCCCAAATTCAAATTTCCAGTACAGCATTATGTCTCCAATTGGATGTCTAATGGGCATCTCAGTCATAAACATTTTCAAAACTAAATCTCTAATATTACTCCTCCCCCAAAAGAAAACACCATTGGCTAGGCACAGCGGCTCATGCCTACAATCCCAACATTTTGAGAGGCTGAGGTGGGAGGTCTGCTTGAACCCATGAGTTTGAGACCAGCCTGGGCAATATAGCAGGACCCCATCTCTAAAAAAAAATTAAAATTAGCTGAGTGTGGCAGTGTGTGCCTGTAGTCCCAGCTACTTGGGAGGCTGAGGTGGGAGGATCATTTTGAGTCTGGGAAGCAGAAGTTGCAGTGAACCCACCATGTCACTGCACTCCAGCATGGGCAAGAGAGTGAGAGACCCTGTCCAAAGAAAGCAAGAAAGGAAGGAAGGAAGAGAAAGAAACACCTAAGCTTGTGAATTCTTTCCACTTTTTAAATTTTTTTCATCTTAGTTAATGCATCATTATCCTAGCAGTTGCTCACATCAAGTCCCTTAAAGTTATCCCTAACTCCTCTCTTTTTCTCACACCCCTTATCAAATACCAACAAATGCAAGGTTCTTCCTTCAAAATATTTTCAGAGGGCCGGGCATGGTGGCTCACACCTAGAATCCCAGCACTTTGGGAGGCCAAAGTGGGTGGATCACGAGGTCAGGAGTTGCAGACAAGCCTGGTTAACATGGTGAAACTCTGCGTCTACTAATAATACAAAAAATAGCCAGGCATGGTGGCATGCATCTGTAATCCCAGCTACTTGGGAGGCTGAGGCAGGAGAATCACTTAAACCCGGGAGGCAGAGGTTGCAGTGAGCCAAGATCGCACCACTGCACTCCAGCCCGGGTGACAAGAGTGAGACTCTGTCTCAAAAAAAACAATAATAATTCAGAATCTGATCACTTCTCACAACTTTTATGGTTACCACCCTGCTCCAAGCCATTGTCATCTCTCATTTGGACCACTGATAGCCTCCTAACTGGACTCCTTAGCTTCCATCCCTGCCCTTCCTCCCACAGTCTATTCTCGACACTGTCACTTTTTAAATAAACAAGTCAGGTCCTGCCATTTTTCTGCTCAAAACTCTAATTGTTCCCCGTTTCATTCAGCGTTAAAGCCAAAATCTATACAATGGCTTCCAAAGCCCTACTCAACCTGATCTCCATTACATCTATGACTTCATCAATACCTACTCTCAGGTTTGCTCACTCTGCTCCAGCTGATCTGACCTTCTTGTTATTCCTCTAAACACCGAGCATGCATCCACCTCAAAACCCTGCAGTAGTTTTTCCTCTTCTTGCATTCCCAATCCTCCTCACCTTGCTCTATTTTTTCAATGTCTTGTCACCTTCGAATCAATGATTTCCTGATTTAATATTTTCATCTTGTTATTGTCTGTTTCTCACTGTTCGAATGTAAGCTTCTCTAGTGCAACAATTTTTCACTGTTTTGTTAACTGATGAATCCAACCCCCAACTTATAACAGTGTTTGGTATCTGGTAGGTGTTCAATAAATTGTTGTTCAATAAATCAGTAAATGAAGATATAAAGAACAAAAGGGAAACTATTCAACAATTAGGACCATATGACAAAATAGTTTTAAAAGTAGATGCCTCGTTGTTTAGTAAGAGACATAGATATTGAGATCAGACAGATCTGGGTTTGAATCCTGGCTCTAACACTTACTGTGTGACTTTGGGCAACTTATTCAATAGCAAGGTTCCAAGATTTACCATCTGTAAAACTGGAATGATAACGCTTCATAGGTCTGCTGTGGGAGTTAAGCACGCAGCCAAATGCACAAGTAGGAAGTTCTCAATACACTTTAGTTTTCAGTATTATTATTCTTCAGGGCTTACCTTCTTTGACCACTTTTTAGACATTTAAATAAGTATCTGTTGAATTAATAAATGACTAAGTGCCTACCATCGTAAGTATAAAATCAGTGCAAGATGCTTTCATGATTATTCCCTAAAACAGGTTTGTTCTGGCCTCTTGTTTGCACATAATCAGCTCTAGCAGACTGCTTCTGTGCTGATATGTACTATGTCTACTCTGTCCCACTCAGCCCTTGGTTCATGCTCAAAGACAGCTGCTTTTGAAGATCCCACCCCACCTGCCACCTCCTGGCACAATGGATTTGGGTGCAAAAGCAATCTGACAATGCACAAGCTCTAATTCTGACAAACATGCCTGTTTAGCATAACATGGCTAAGGAGCAACCTATCTCTAGGGATGGATGGCAGAATGTGAGTGGCTAGTAACATAAGTTCCCTACACTCATCAGTAGGAGAAGTATTTGGGTCAGAGTCAATTAAAAAGAATTTCCTTTGGACTGGCATCAGCGTTTTTACATTAGCCATTGCTGTCCAAATGGTGAGGTGGTAGTTTTGTGAAAGGAACTTTATATCCAATACAAACATCTTGTTTTAAATACCTTGTCAATTAACATCTGTTTTCAATAGAACATGCTTCTTCGAATACAGGATTGTCTAGAGCAACAGCTGATGGACCAGACTATGATGCTTCCTGGCAGGGGGCTTGAGTGCCTTGGTGTGTTTTTCTTCAAGTTTCCTCTGCTTGGATTTGGTTAAGATCCTTGAATCTTTAGGTTTATAGCTTTCATTAAATATTAA